TTGGTTAAGTGCACACATGGTGCGGTTCTATTGGGGGCCTTATGGCAGAATTTGAACGAGATGAGTATTTGGGTATTGCATGATTGGTTGCGTTTTGGTTATGTCTTTCAGGTTTTGTATGGCATTGTGTCATTTGCCTCTCCATGGTTATTAATTTTGAGCAGGGTGGCTCGGGGTATATAATATGGACCAACGTTTGGATGGGGTCACGCATTGCAACGGAGTTATGTTAAGGTATGAACCTTGTGTTAGAATCGGTGATGGTTCTACGGTGTGTTATGTATTTTTAGCATTTCGTTGTGGCAGTACTTGTTAATCTGGCGGGGCAGTTCTCTCATTTGAGTCATTTTTCATGACTGAGTACACTTGAATTATTGCGTATTGGCACACTGATGGCACGCTTTGTGACTCTGAGTTATATTGGTGTGGCATGTATGTGGTATAATTGTGTTTAATAATATAAGGTCATTGGACCCAGAATGAGTACTATCAGGGCTGAAACAGTATATTCGGAAGGATAATATTGAAATTCGGCTTAGAAAATGATTATGGTTCTGGTTGGGGAGAGAGCTCCGTGACTTGTTGATCTGGTAGATGGTCATGAAATTTATCATGTTTCTTTTATTATCAACAGTGTATGAAGGTTTTGGGATGAGGTTTGGTTCGATATGGGTTTAATACTAGTATTTGGTTGGTTTTGGAGTAGTCACTATGATCAGGAATGGTGCTACGAGCATGCGAGTTGTGTAATATGTTAGGTAATTATGTTCGAGGTTATGGTTATGGCTTGATACAGCTTGTTCAAACTCATACAGTGTGTAAATGTAAGGTTTGTGTCTTGAAAAGAAATTTTTGAAGGTTGGGAATTTAATTCCAAGGTTTTTGGGGCTAAGGTTAAATTAATGAATTTCAGTTGTATTGTATTGTCAAGCCTATATGGAATAGGGTGACGTGAGTTCACCCCGGGGTATGTGCGTGGTGAGGTGGAATAGAGATTTGAAGGTTAAGAAAAGCTCTTGGCATGTTCGAGGACGAACGTATGTTTAAGTGGGGGAGAATGTAATGACCCGGCCGGTCGTTCCCACATTTACTGCTCAATTTATGCCTTACAGTTGATTTATGACTTATCGGGTTAGTTGGTTCGGGTCCGGAAGGATTTCAGAGTGAAATGAGACACTTAGTCTCATAATTTAAAACTTAAGTTGGAAAAGTTGACCGGATATTCACTTATGTATAAACGACCTCGGAATTTAATTCTAATAATTCCAGTAGCTCCGTATGGTAATTTTGGACTTAGAAACGTGTCCGGAAAATTATTTGGAGGTCCGTAGTAGAATAAGGCTTGAAATGCCGAAAGTTGAAATTTTGGGAAGTTTGACCGGGGGGCTGACTTTTTGATATCGGAGTCGAAATCCAATTCTGAAAATTTTAATAGGTTCTGTTATGCCATTTATGACTTGTGTGCAAAAGTTTAGGTCAATCGGACGTGATTTGATAGGTTTCGGCGTTGTTTGTGGAAACTTATAATTTTAAAGTTCATTAGGCTTGAATTGGGGTATGATTCGTGTTTTTAGTGTTGTTGGATGTGATTTGAAGACACGACTAAGTTCGTATGATATTTTAGGACTTGTTGGTATATTGGTTGAGGTCCCGGGGGCATCGGGTGAGTTTCGGACGGCTAACAGATCAATTTTGGAATTGGCATTTCAACTAAAGAATGCTGGTTTTTCTATCACTGGTTTCCTTCTATGCGATCGCGTGAGAAGGTCCGCGATCGCATAGGCTTGTTTGGGCAGAGGTAAAATTGTTCTATGCGATCGCGTGAGAAGGTCCGCGATCGCATAGGCTTGTTTGGGCAGAGGTAAAATTGTTCTATGCGATCGCGTGAAGGCAACCACGATCGCGTACGCTTGTTGAGACAGTGACAACTTTTGTTCTTCCCGATCGTGCAAAGAGGGCTGCGATCGCGTAGCTGTGGAAGTATGTTATTCGCGAACGCGTAACGAAGGCCGCGTTCGCGTAGAGGAAATGGACAGAAATGGAAATCACGCGTTTGTTCTTCGCGATCGTGTGGTTAGGTCCCGCGATCGCGTAGGTCTTTGATGTTGTGCATCGCGATCGCGTGGGAAAGTTCGCGATCGTGTAGAGTTAAATATGGGCTGTGGCAAACTGTTCTTCGTGATCACGTGGGAATGTTTGCGATCGCGTAGAGCAAATGACTTGGCAGAGAATTTAAGTTCTGAAAATGGGACTTCGTCCCATTTTTTATTTTTGACAGATTAGAGCTCGGAAAGAGGCAATTTTTGGGAGATTTTTAGAGAAAACAGCGGGGTAAGTGTTCTTAACTCAATATTGGTTAAATTACCCGAATCCATGATTGTTTTTAACATTTAATTGGTGAATTAAATTGAAAAATTGTGAAAACTCTCTTGGTTTAATTTGGAGATTTGAGGGTCGAGTTGATGTCGGATTTGAGTAAAATTTGTATGGTTGGACTCGTGGTTGAATAGGCATTCATATTTCATAACTTTTGTCGGGTTCCGAGATGTGGGCCCCATGGGTGATTTTTGGGACGTAATTTCGGATTTTTGGAAAATATTAGTATTTTGATATGGAATTAATTCCTATAATTTTTGTGGGCAGAATCAAATTAATTGTAACTAGATTCGAGCCGTTTGAAAGTTGATACGCGCAGAATAAAATTTCTGGAGCATTGCTTAGCTTGCTCGATATTGGATTTAGCTTGTTCGAGGTAAGTAACTCTTCTCATCTTGGAGCTGAGGGTATGAACCCAGAATATATGTATTATATGAATTGTTGGGAGGTGACGCACATGCTAGGTAACAGGCGTGTGGGCGTGCACTATAGAAATTATGACATAATTGTTTCTGTGGAATTTTGTAGTTAAATAATCTTGGTATTTTTCATGCGATTTTATGTGTTAAAGAAATTGAGCTGAAAAGCATATTAAAAATCATGTTGAGGCTAGGTGCCAGTATTATTGGGACCCAGAGAGGTCATATTGCTTTGAATTATTTATTTTAAATTAAAAATTCATACTCAGTCATATTCATGACATTACATATCATATATCAGTCTCTGATGTTAATTATTGATACATCATATCATCATTTTGGGCTATTTTCATGACATTGTGAGCCCATGAGAGAGAGACTGGAGAGATTGATGACTGAGTGAGGCCGAGAGCCTGATTGTGAGGATAATTATGGGATCGGGATGCACGCCGCAGCATGCCAGATTGGCTTATTATAGCACGTGAGTTATCCGTGCGGATCCAGATATTATGATAGTGCGTGAGTTATCCGTGCAGATCCGGATATTATTATAGCACGTGAGTTGTCCGTGCAGCACGTGAGTTGTCCGTGCAGCACGTGAGTTGTCCGTGCAGATTATGGCGCTTGGGCTGAAGTAGCCCCTCCGGAGTCTGTACACACCCCTAGTGAGCGCAGGTGCCTACTGAGTGCGAGTGACGAGTGCGAGTGCCGAGTGATTGGGAGGATTAAGTGAATGTAAGGACTGAGTGACTGTGAGGACTGAGTGACTGGGAGGATCGAGTGATTGGGAGGACTGAGTGAAATGATACCATGAGAGTATGCATATGATTTTATCACTGAGTTGCATCGCATTGACATGCACACATGACATATATACATAGAGATGTATTTTCCTCATGCTATACAGTATCGCATCATTCATGATTCTCACACATGCTGACAGATGTGCATAGTGATGTATTTGTTTTACACGGGTTATCTAAAAAGAAAATGAAACATCTCATTTATTATTAAAAGGATTTTGGAAAAATAATTATTTTCAAACTTATTCATATTTTTGGCAACTCCGGTAAACGATTTGGGTTTTCATTGATGCACTTGAAAGGCATAGTTCAGAAATCATGTTTTGATTGTTGAGTTACTTTTGGTCTTACTTGTTTACGATGTTATGGACTGTTGTGGTCTATTAGTTTCGGACCCGACCTTGGTAAAAGCTCGTCACTGCTTTCAACCTAAGGTTAGGTTTGTTACCTACTCAGTACATGGGGGCGGTTGTACTGATACTATACTTCTGCACATTGCGTGCAGATGTTGGCTGTTGTTGTTTCTGTGCTCGAGGGTTGCCGGATTTGAAGATGTACCTGCGTTCTTATGGTTGCTACCTTTTGTTCATGGTAGCCTTAGATTATAAAAACTCGGTTTATGTACTTTTCAAACTGAAGATGTATTTACTTCATATCAGCTTTGTAAATTATATTCTTAGAAGCTCATGATTTGTACTACCAGTTCTTGGGGATTGTATAAGATTAAGATCTTTATTTACTTAAATTGCTTTAATAATTATTATTGGAATTGGATAGTTGAAAGTTGATTTGCCTAGCGGGTTGAGTAGAGCTATCACGACTAATTGGATTTTGGGTTATGACAACTCCATTCTTCAGCAACAGTTTTTTTTCCCCAGTTACCTGGACCTCAAGATTATGAACCTATGTTATTGGTATACCTTGGGCACCAACATACTGTCATAACAAAAATTGCTTCACTAACCCCCCTCGAAATTTTTTATTTGCATAGCCAGAATATTATTTCCAGTCAGGTTCCCATTCTCTAGGGAGTATAAAGTCTGAACTGATGAAAAATACTAGAATACTGTTGTTCAGTCTGATAAAAAGAGATCAGTCTGACTTTATAAAAAGTTGTTCATATTTTGAATTTGGTCTGAACTTATGAAAAATACTCTGGGGGGGAACTCGATCTAGGGAGTATAAAGTCTATGAACAACTTTTTCTAAAGTTTGGTATTATTGATGATGTTGAAACTCTCTGAGAGTTGTTGCTAAAATGAATTTTGGTACTCAATGATCCGTTCTAATTTGTTTGTAAGTATCCGATAGGGAAATTATAAAAGACTGGAACCATTTGAGTTAATAACTGGATCTCAGTTCACAAATTCTTATAAAGTTCAACAAAATGGAGACAAACAGGCGAATCATCAATGAATTTCTATTAAATATATAGTTCTCCCTATAAGGGTGTGAAGCCCATCTATACAAAAACCATTTGGGGCGGAACACCCATTTGGTGCTAATTTCAATGCTGTTTGATTACTGTTATCACTTAATACAACATTTGAGGCCTATCACAAAGAAAATGTGCACAAAATGCTGTACATTAGGCGGTGGCAACTGCTTCCATCGCAAGCAGCATGTTTTGATGGTGCTATATTCTGCCATTCTTTATCATTCTACAAGTTGAGGCTCAAAGAATCCTGCCACGGATACAGCAATTAGAGGGCACTGCTATAATAACTACTGAAGAAAGATCCATTTTTTCCTCTTCAAAAAATGAAACACCAATCAGCTACTCCAATGATACAGCTCGTCTCCGTCTTGAAGACTTAATGTGCTTCATTTCACCCTGAACGCCAATGCAAATGAACCAAGAAGGTTATTACCAGACGACAAAACCAAACATCCAGGAAAATGATGTTTGGGAAAAACATAAAACCGCCATTTATATTAGACAACAAGAGTAAACAATACAAGTACTTGGTACTACATTTAAGAATTGGGATTTAGAAAGGGAGGACACTTCAGTTGCAAAAGAGCAGGATCTTGAGTATAAATGCAACAATTCTTAACAAGTGAAATAATCAGACCACTTCCATACCCTCATCTCAGGTAATTCCACCTACACTGGGATTCATCAGTTTGATTATTTAGTCTGGTCCAAATTAAGATGCACCGTGCCCTAGTATGGCTCTGGAACAAGATGTTATTGCACGACATCCATCTGGAGATTGATGCTCAAAACTCCTAGGAAAAATGCCTTCGTCTTGCTATATGTGATCTTTAGAGTTGCTATAAATTTGCCAATTCATGTCCCTGACTTGCAGCAACACTGCTTCTCTTGGCTATAGGGGTGGTAAGTGGGCCGGGCCCTAAATGGGCCTAGTGGGCCACGGTCCCAGGCCTTAAATAAACAGGCTAAACGTTCTTTTTGTAGGAACCGGCCCGGTACCGGGCCCACGAACTTATAGTCCCGGGCTAAATGGGCCGGGGCCGGTGGGCTAAGTGGGCCCAACGGCTAAGTAGTGCTTTTAAAAAAAAAATTAAATAGAAATTAGAGACAAAAAGATCTTAAAAAAATATCTAAGGCAATGCCTTGTAAATTTATTATAGAATTGTGACCTAATTTTTTAATTCAAATTTAAAGACAAAAATATTGTAAAAAGATATTCAAAGCAATGCCTTGTAATTTTATTATAGCAATAAAAAACATGGCAATATCTTTCTTAGTCTTCCTCCCCCCTATGGAATGAGGTGCTAATATCCCCAACTTCACAATTTTTTCACAAATTGTAACCTCAATATTTTTTGACTATTTTTTGGAATAAAGTAAGCAATAGTAGCAAGTATAGAAGAAAATTATAGAGAGATTGTGATAGATTGATATTGATTTTGCAAGAAAATGAAAGAATGAGGGGTATTTATAGTTTAAAATAGGGAAAAAGTGTAATTATAAAAAGTTTGGGGGCTTAAATGGCTATTTTTTAAACCCCTAACAGCTCTTTTTTTTTCAAAAGCCCGTTGGGCCCCGGTCTCTTGACGGGCCAAACAGGCCGGGTCCTAACAGTTCCCAGCTAAGAACCGGCCCACGAGACCGGCACGAGCCCACCTCTAGCGGTCCTAACGGTCCCAGCCCGCAGGCCCGAACCGGCCCACTTGCCACCCTTACTCTTGGCTAAGCACGCTAACAAACTGTTTACAAGAATCATTTTGCTACTCACAGATCAAACGAATGATGAAAATAAACTGGGACACGTCAATTTTCTATCCTGCAAACTGACATCTTAAACCTTTGGTGGGACCCTACTGCATATTGGTGAACTTCTCCATTTAACCCTTGGAGACACATAGCAAAATAAATATACAAGCCCCTAGCAGGCAAGGCCATCTGCTATTCATTAACATTTGAAAGAATGACCAACACTGTTCAATTGGGGAATTAACAATTTAACATGTTGTTAAGTTGTTTCGCAAAACAATTCCAAATTTAACATTTTAATGTTCATCTGTAGAGGGATTTTGGGTTGATACTTAATCATTAGGTTCCCCTGGTGAAGCATCTGTTATGGCTTCTAGGTTGAGATATTTGCTCAAGCTTGCATCTAGTGCAGCTTCTTGAGGGCAGAGCATGGAGTACATGAAATAAAGATCAGTACAGTAAATACCCTTAGAGGGGCAGCAACAATAAAAAGGAAAGAAACAGGAAAATTAACTCATACCTAATAGTTCACTGCCAGGAAACTAACAATAGGCTCAAACCATATGAACTTTTTTTCCATGAAAGACCTAGAAGCATACCTCAACTCGGCATCACCTTCAGTGATGATATTGTTAAATTTACACTGCAGCCCAGAACTGCAAATTCGCTATGTCACAGAAGCTTTGGATTTTGAATTCCTCGGAAAGCTAGTCTTACGAAGTTGAGGATTTTCTATCGAATAAACAAGAAGACTTCCATCCTTGGTCCCAGCAATAAAGCATTCTTCTGGTGTCACAGTTAGTGAAGTTACTATTTTCCCGATTCCATTGTACTTGCCCACAATCTCAAGTGAGTTCATAGAACGTACAATGATCTGCCCCTGATCTCCAGCACAAACCAAGAACTCACCACAGCTACTCAGTTCAAGACAGTTCAGGCGGCCATTGGATTCTGAAGACGAAATGTGTTTCCCATTTATAGAATAGAGGTGCAAACTAAGATCATCATCAGAATAAAGAACAATCCTCCCATGACGTGATGCAACAAGCTTTGACAATGGACTGCCAGATGGATGCCGTAGGGATCTAACATATCTCCCATCCCGTAGCGTATGGAAAACACAAGTTCCATCTTTTGATCCACTTATAACTATATCAAGCTCAAGACTTGCATACAAGCACGTAATAACGTCATCATGACCACACAAAATATGGGAAGGGGTTTCGGCAACGATGCAATCTTTTCTAGGAATCTCTGCTTGAGTATGCTTTACTCGTTTTTCAGGGGTTCTAATGCGAAAAATCTCCCAGATCATTACTGTTGTATCGTAACTTCCAGTAGCCAGGATGCTTCCATCAGATGTAACTGCAAGAATTAAAAATGGTTCAGAACTTAGCGTTACTGCAAAATATAGAATAACTAAGAAATATATCATTCCAGTGACGTAACCAGACAATATATTTTTGATAAAGAAAATAATTTTACGGATGTTGGAAAAAGAAAACTCCTGTATACAAGAAATATACCCAAAAAGTAGAGAACCTATACAAAAATGTAGTTCTCTACAAAAGACAGGATACAACAACTACGCATCAGTCCCAACAAGTTGGGGACAGATATATGAATCCTCACTGACCATGTTTCTGTACTTAAGCTCAATTCATGTCATCATCGTGCCGAAATAAAGATAAAAGTGAAAAATAATATAAATATATATAAAATAACAGTGATGATAATCATTATAATAATAATATTAAACGTTCTCTATATTTTACTGGCAGGTAAATCTATGATAAGGTCAAAATACTCCTAGAAAAGCAATAGGTTCAAAATCAACGTACTAACAAGACCAAAACTTATTCCAACTGATAGAAAAGAGGATTGCTTATTGAGAAGTTTCCTTTTTTCTTTTTAGATGGGTAGGATGCTTATTGCAAACTCTGTAAGACTCGCATCAACTGTCGAGGCTATAACTGTTACTCTTCGATAATCTTCATCCTAGACAGTTGGTAAAGATCTAAAAGTCATCAAACAAAGAGATACCAATTTAACACTCAGAAGGTGACTATTTTTTCTTGGTAGAGGAAGCCAAGGACCAAAAACAAGAAAAAGTTTCAGAACTGTGCCCTATCCTGCTCCTAGTAATGAATATTGTCCATCATGTGAGATCATTCTTACCGCCTCTTAGAGGGAATAAACAAAATGGAAATAAATATTCACAGATAAATACACTGCCTTCAATAGTTACCGAGCTCTACTCCACGTTGATTGTTCCTCTTTGCCAAGATTGAACCACAAGTGTTTGATATTTTGGTATTCTTCAACGTCAAAAATTTGTTAATTAACTGTACCGGCATGATAGGAAACACACCCCTCAACTTTGGCATAATAACTTAGCGTGTTCTTATATAAATACTCAACCTCCACATATTTAATGTTACTATCCAGTTAAAAAATTCTCAGTTCCTAACTGATTCACTGCACTATAAGCAAATAAGGATTGTAGTATAACTATTGTTTCCTAATCTCGACAAATGCCACGGGGTACCTGTTACCTCCCACCAGCACATATATCATGTAACTCTGTCCATCAAGGCTTGGACACATGAGAATGTATAACTACTGTTTTATCAGGTGCGATAAAAGCTTTGCCTTCTTACTTTAAAGTCCTTATTCCCAAAATATGCAATTTCACTTTTTAGAAATCTCCCGAGTCTATTACTCCCTCTGTGGATCAATATAATTTAACATAGATGCAGGGTGGAGACTAACATTACATGGTTTGTGCATTATGAAGAAAAATATTAATTGGGAAATCAAGAAGCTTGGGATAGATGACAATGACAAGATGTGATGATAAAATATCGGAACAGCTGTTCAGTTGTTTTGCACATTCCCCAGAATTCAAAACAATTTTTAACTATAGGATGAGAAGCCCTACTTTCCATTTTTGCTTGTTTCCTATGAAACAAAAAATGGAAAAAGCTAAGCAAGAGATCAAGAATCAGGAGACAGGAGTATTATGAAAATTACTTGCTCAACTTGCTCCTCCATAATATATTTATTTACCATTTTTTAACATGCCGCTTTGCACAAATTTTCAACAGAAAGATACTATAAGCACCCAATTAGACAAGTCAGAGGTCTGCAATTTTAAATGGATAAGTAATCCAATGCCAGGAAGGTCTGGCTAATAGTTGGTTTATAGAAGATGCCAAGTACAAGAATTGTACTTTACATCCTTCGAACAACAACAGGATTTTCTGGACTGCTAAGTCAGTCTAATGTCAATGCTCTCAGTTCCTAATTACTATCCCATGACAAGAATCATTTAGAAAATTCATGCTTCCAGCGCTCATCTCATATAGGTTCTCAGCTTACTTCATTTTTCGAGACACTCAGTGTGTAGATTTGTTAGTGAGAAGCTCCAACCAAGTTGCCACATATTTCAGTCATGAAAATTACCTGCAATGCAGCTCACAACATCTTTATGTTGTCTAACGCTCTGCACCATTCTGCCATCAGTTAGCGATATAACCTGAAAGCTGTTTTCGCAGGTACCACATGTTATCAAAAAATTTTCAGATGTTGTTGATAATGTTCCAAAGCATTGTGCTGCAAGCTCAATATTTTCAGCCAAAGGACTCCCAATTTTCCGAGGGGGAAGAACATCAGAACCAATCCCGAAAAAGGGATCCTGCATGAAAGTTAAAAATGACTTCAAAGCTGACTAACTAATCATAATGCTTGACCTTGTTATTGCTCTAAAACTTACCTGTGAGCCAGAGAAGGTGAAGTTCCCACCGGATTGCAACTGAGTGGTCACCCATGTCTTAACAGACATGGTGAGGCCCTGGTTCACAAGGACAATGTTTGAGTCCAGCACATTAACATACAGAGTAGCTGACGAAGAACTGCTTCCGCATGAAGCAATTGATGTTAGGTTAATAGAACCAGGAGCAAATCGTAGAGGATGGGCAATTGGAATTGGAGGTCCTCTTCTAGGATGTTTCTTCCGGAAAAGTTGAATTGGTGTTTGACCAAAGTTGGCAATTTGATCTTCTATTGCCGACCTTTGCAATTCATCATCCATGGTATCCAGATCCACAGCCCCTTCATATGTCAAATAATAAAAAATATTTGCTGCCTGTATGACAATATCTCCAAAAATTCAGTGAATTCAAAACCTGCAACTGGTTCTAGAATTAATTGATGTTAAAGCTGATTCCCTATACCTCAACTGCTGGTTTTCCCCGCTGCTTGTAACCAAACACCAAATCAATCCAGTGGTGGAGATTTGAGCTCACATATTCGCTTTCAAGGGCTTCTCTGTTCTTACAAATAAATTCCTCGGGAGAACCCTGCACATGCATTTGAAAATACATTAAATAGTAAAGAAAATAGGAGAACCCTGTACATGCATTTAAAAATACATTAAATAGTAAAGAAGAAAAAAAGAACATCACAAAGGTTAGCTCCACAAATTGATTGGAGACAAAGAAATTGAATTTTTTTTACAATAAAGCGAAATATCAATTTTTTAGTGTCGCCTCCTCAAGATTATGTTCACTAGCAAAGTATGCCTTAGAGCCTTGATGACGACTCTGAAGGGCCCGCTAAGCGAGAAGCACTCAACATGTTTTGCGCCTCGCTACAAGGCTTAAGCGCGCCCTTGACTATGCTGTTAAGAGCTTAAATAAAGCGCCACTTACGCGAGATGAAGCGCACAACCTGACTTTAACCGATTTCAGGGCTTAAGCGTGCCTCAAATGAGCCTTCAACAGCAGTAAATTGAACCATGATAAACCCCTCTTTATTTGCACGAACAGAGAATATCATTTTACGGTGTTCAAATGATTGATATTCAGGGTCTATGGCTTTTTTCCCATTTCTCTAAAGCCAAGAGACAAGAAACAAATAAAGCCAAAATTCCATGAAGTTGTTTGGGTGCATAACAAACTAATGAACTCAATTTGAAACCAAATTATGATGGATTGAGCACATTTTTGCTACTTTAAAATGATACTCCAGGATGCATCATTTTAAATAGTAGGAACTGAAATATCACAATTCTGACTGCACCTTTGCTGCAAACTGCTCTTCTCTATTGCTTTCTCCAAAGACTACTAGTTCCATCCAGCAAAACTGACAACTTTCCCATTTTATCACTCACACTCCATCTCTAGATTCCCTTCTTATATATGTTTCACATGACAAAGACCCTTTTCATGGATGTAGGGTTGACTTACGAATATAAATAGGTTGAACTGAACCATGAGAAACTCTGTTCTATTTGTACCAACAGTTCAACATATCGATTTATGGTTTTCGAATGATTCATTTCAGGGCCTATTTTTTTTTCCTTTCCTCTTGTTAGTTTATAGATATGTATAGTGGAGTCTTGTCCCACATTGGAAGAGGAGTAATATCTCCTTGTAGTGTATAGCTATAAATAGGGAC